GTGTATCCTTTAAGCTGTAGTTGGTAACTTTTATTTAAAAAAAAAATTAAAAATTGCCATATTTGCTCAAACTGTCACTGTATTCACGCAGCATGAAATGAGACAGCTAATATTCTATTGCCTTGCAGTGCTTCAAATGGCCTTACTGCACGTGAACAAAAACAACCAAGCAGAGCTGAGGAGTCTTTAAAGCAGCTGTCAATCTTGTCAATCGCTGCTCAGGAACTGCGTTCAGACTGTCAAACTATGCAGTGCTGATCAAATATAAATCACGATTCTGGTACTTCATTTGCTTTTTCTGGCCTAAAACATTTTCAGGAATATACTTTAGTGTACTGTTTAGCTGTAAAATGACAAAGTTGCTCTGGCTGGTGGGTGGTGTTTGATACTTTGGTTGAATGTATCCAAATGGAGACCGGGTCACAAACTGTCTCATTTTACAGCCAAACAGTACACTAAAATATGTTCCTGAAAACATTTGAGGCAAGAAATAGACAATGCAGTAACAGAATCTTGATTCGTATTGGATCAGTGTTGCATAGTTAGACAGACTGACTGCAGTTCACAAAGTGATTGAAATCATTGACAGCTATGTTAGAGACTCCTTGGCTCTAATTGGTTGTTGTTGGTGTGCCACAGTTAATTCTAGCAAATACTATTAGAGGCAGTAGGAAGAGGAGGAGGGACATTAATATTTTCAGACTCTCACATGTACTTCTTTCAGAATATAATGACAGTTTCAGCAAATATGACAGAAAGTTATTTTCATAACTGTAGCTTTAAGGCCTTAACAAACATGTTGAAAGCATTTCCATCTCCAAGACACATCCAAATCTTTATTGTAATGTTCCAAAAACTGGGTTGTTTACATGTACTTTTCTCCTCTTTTCTTTCACAGCACATCACTACCAGTGACTGCAATCAGTACAAATGTGTATCACATCATCCTTGTGCTTGTGGCAATACAAACAATAAGGCCCACTCATCAAAACACAGCTCTAAAGCACCACTAGTGGTCAGAAACGTCACTGTGTCTTTATAGTGCATGCAACTAGTGGTCATGATAGCAACATTGTAGTCATTTAAGTGTGGTGACATGATTTCCTCAAATAAACACCTTTAAACTTTGTTCTTAGTGCTTTGTTCAGATTTTTAACTGTATGTATGCTGTTTATCAAACAGATCACACAGATAGTTTCAAGTGATAAGTTTAATATTAGTCCCACAAATAAAGACAACTTTAAACCCTGGTAACAGAAGTTCCAAGATATCATTTTCACACAAAACCAGGAAATACGTGCACTAGTTTTTCCATGCTGTAAGCATGTCTGGGCAAGCTTTAACTACCCTCACCACCCCCGTCCAAATAATGAATCACTGTGATGATACCACTGCCTTGTGACCTTTGAACCCCGTGCGAATCATCTTATCTCATAACTCTATGTCATGAGGACTGCTAACAGTGAAATTACTGTGTCACTGCTAGCTTCCTGTATAATGTGACGGGAAATTAACTTAACTTACAGTCATGTGTGCTAATAATAAGTAAAGCAGTCATTTATGACATGATTGCACTCACCCTTTCCTGTCCGGCTGTATCCCAGATCAGAAATTTGTGTAGTTCATTTCCAGATGGCACTGTTTTGGTTAGGAATGATGCTCTGTGGGTGATAAAGAGCATTTCACAATAATGCTTCAGAGTATGTTCCTTAAAATGCAACAGAAGCAAATCAGTCAAGTCATCAGTGGAAACAAAGAACACACAGAATAAAGATGGTCGACACTGAACCCACTTTGCCTGAGAGCACTAATGTAGTGTTGCATCAGAGGCGTACAGACCAACCATCAGATAAGACAGAGCCAACACAAAAACAAACATTTGTTTTGATATGGCTAAAGTGATAGATTTTTTTTTTAAATCCACTTTTTAAACCTTTTTATCTCAGCCTAATGTTGCCTTCTGCATATCCCAATTCCAGATCTCACCAGTCTCATGACTTCTAAACTGTACATTATTTCCATAGTGTGTTTAAGCTTGGCATTTGTCTGGCTTACATTATATTCTTTTGTCTGCTACTTGTGACCTGACCCACCTTTCAAAGAATATGCATTAACCATCACTTTGTTAGGGACCGGGGCATATTCTATTTTGTCTTATGTAAAATGAGGTAGCCAATTTCTCTTATGTCTGACTTAACATTGTCCCCTCTGTAAATTACCCATTTAGCTTAAAAAAAGGTTCTTGATACTGAGGTATTTTTGAGCTTCCTATGATTAGTTATACTGGTGTAAATATATGAACTGACTTAACCTTTATGTGATAGAAATGACTTAAAAGTTTTATTTTTTGTATAAATGTCACGTGACGTCTCACCTGGTCACACTAAACAAGGGTGTTGTCAATTCAGACTTTGGTCTTAGTTTGATATCAGTTTGGGACTATAAAGATGGCTGAAGCTTATAAACACATAACACCTGGTGTCTCTATTGTTTGATTGAGTTGTTTCCTGTTGTCACTGTATTTTGTGAAATGTAGGCTACTGCGGTGCTCTTACCCTATTGTGGGACTTATGTTGTGGTCAAAATGGTCCTGAACGAATCGGCAAACTATGCTGGATTTTCCAACTCCAGTGTCCTGAAAACACAGGGTAACAACATCAATAACAGCACATCAGTCTCAGAGCACTCCTGACACACACACACACACATTTGTCACTGTGCTACTAACATGTCACAGCCTTGCAGTGTCACTATTTGTCACCCTATTGATTGGGCAACTGTTTGGTCACATGCCCACTCTATCTGATGGAGTGGTCACATGCCCACTCCATCAGATAGTTTACTGTCAGTGCACAGATTCTACAACTAGCTCTGATTGTAAAGTCAATATTGTTTGTGTAAAACAACACAATGCATCTCCCAGTTCCCTAACACATTAACATGAAAACTTAGAGACGTATGGGCCTTTTTGGCTGCATTTTATCTATGCTTCATGGAGTTTTTGTTGATGCAGGCACGATGACAGCTCTTATTTTAGCTTCACACAGCTGCAGTATGAAGAAAACCTGCTACATATAAGCACAGGGGTAACAAAAGATTGGTAAGGGCTGTCTGAGGAATGTTTGCTGAGCATGTCAGTTTCTGTGGCAGACTGCACAGGCCTGGTAAACCTCCATGTAGCTTCAATTCATTAATAAACTACCACTTTGCAGACTAAACATATGTGGACATCCCCGACGGCGTGTATAAAGAGGGACTGCTGTTTTGCTAACGCAGCAGGAAATCCTAACTAACGCCTTACTTGTAGCGGTTTGTCTTATGATGACGTAATGGGTGATAAACTGTCACAGCCGTCAAAAATTAAGACAGAAACACGCAAAAAACGACAGATAATAGATGTAAATATAAAAAAAACACGTACACGATGAGAAAACAAATGCAATATGGCTGCTGCGCCCACCGGCCGTTCAGTTATTGGTTTTTAGGCAACTAGCTCAACATTTTCAAGTTTCTGACGAAGAGCAACACGATAAAGTAAAGACCGTTAGAAACCAACCCAAGTATTAATGTCAGTTATTGAAGCTAACGTCTGTTACTGTGTTGTTACCGTCAAAATGTTGTCCATTAGTTAACGTTAGACTCGCAGCAGGAATACAGAAGGAATTTTCCCCCAAAGTGGATCAACAAAAACATCTGACACTTACCCCTAAAAGGCAAACTTTGAGCTCCCTTATGGCCATGGTGAGTTGTGGAAGTTTTTTTAAATCATTATTTGTCAGTGTTCACTCAGTGTCTTTGTCTCGTCATGCTTAAAAACTCAGATTTTTTTTTCCTCTTCTTGGGTAAAAAGAGAAACCCAGCCCCTGAGACAGACAGACTGACCAGCTAGCCTACCGTCGAGTCAATTTTAAGGAGTGATACGTTGAACTTCCGGTGAGGATTTTCAAAGTAAGACATGCACAGTCCAGTATTCTCCATATTGTAGATTTCCTTCCGACACGAAGGGGAAAAAATCAATAGTAAATATAATTATAATCATAAATAAAGGCAAAGTGTCATAAATATTACTACCACTTCTAGTATTACAGTGTACCGCAGTTTGGTTTGTCCAAGTGGTGTTTCCGTACCCCAGCAGAGGTTATGCTCGACTGCTGTTGGTAGGTACAGTTAATTTGAAACACTTGTGGGCCAGTGCCGTAGAATATAACAAGAAAGTTATCAAAAGTTGTTCATTTACAAAATGTAGACACAAGTCATTACTTAAAAGTATATGTCCTGTGGGCTTCACGGTTTTACACCACACTTGTGTAAGTTGCATAATAATGACAATAAAGTGTCATAAAAAACAAACATTCAAGTGAAATAACAATAGGCAAAACATATTTGATTAGAGGGGGACTTTAAAGGAATAATCATAACTATAATCTTTATGGACAGAGACATTGTGTTTCAATGGGGAAGTTCTGAAACAAGGAAATATGGATGTACACACCCATAAATAATTTAGTTTCCACTTGGGTATCATAATTTCATAATAAATAAACTCCAGACCAAGGTTACCCTGCCTGCTGAACATATACCACAGATATTATCTCTGATGTAACTGTCAAGATAGTCCAAAAATGTAAAGTACGTTTTATTTTGAAACCATTTTTTGCTCATTTCCTGTCTCTTTCTGCCTGTTTCTTTCTACTTGTTAGAGCTCCGTTCCAAATCGGAAACCAGTAAAAGCAGTGACAAAAACTCGGGTGGTTCCACTATCTCTTTAGATACCAAAGCCTTGATCCTGGATCCAAACACAACAATGACATGCTTCACTTCCTCAAAATGGATGCAGAGGTTTTATTTGGATTCTCATTAGGCTGGGAGAGGGAAAAGTATTCCGAGAATGTGTAATGGAAAATAGGAATCACTGAATATGGACTGCATGTCCAGCAGACATAGTTGAGTAAAAAGGTCAACATCAGGCTTCGTGTCAGAGAAAGAGACAGAGATACGAATAAATTATTCAGATCAACACTTTATTCTTCACAGCATTATTCTGTCTGCAACGATAAGCTACAAAAAGCTTAGAACAATATGAAAATAACCTCATGAGAAGCTTCTGAGCCCAATCTAGCATTTATCTGTATCAGTCACAGGATTAATAACACGTTGAATCATAAATCCAGATGAGATTGCTTTGATTTGCCCATGACCAAAGCAGGGGCAGTCACACTAGCATCCTCCATACAGGTCATTAATAATAAAAAAAAAAGAACGTGATAAAACATAAGAGCTGAAAATACAGTATGTTTGCAATTTTACAATGATATACACAAACGGTGAGTAAGTCAGGCCGTGCCTTTGCTTTAAATATCACTGAAGGTATGACAGTACTTTGCAATAGTCATGAATCAGTTGTGAAATGAAATGATTGAATTGTAACTTTGTTTTTTTTACTCACTTCCAACTGATGCCATGAACAACTCCACACATCATGAGTTAAAAAACACAATCAAATACACAACAGAACTTAATAAGCCTCCTGCGTGTCTCTGCGCTTAGCGACAATAATCATCACTACAGATTAGCTGTTCCATCGCAAAACTGGACAATTGTCATTTTCCACATTTCCTTGTTTGTGCAAGAGAGGCAGAGACGACAGAGACAATGATTGCACTACAGAGCAGAGAGTGTAACAACGCTGCCTCCAGCTGTTTGTCTACATTTTTCCAGTGATGAATATGCTTTTGTTGCGTATTTGTTTGCCGTTCGTGTTTCCGTCCACTGGTCAGTTGCAAAGTACAACGCCATTGTGTTTATGTGCATCTGCTGTTCAAAAGAAAGCATCTACAATATATTTATATTCATATATTACTAAAAAGCTGTAACTTAAAATCAATGTATTTCTCAAATATTCATCCGTATTCTTCAGAATACTACTTAAATATATAACATATAGATAGACCAATCATAAATTCTTCATTATTCAAAGAGCTTTTGTATTAGTGGTTCTCTGGGGAAACGTGTCCAGTCTGGCATCATCGGTTATGGCACAGTGGTCTCTATCCTAACATGTCCAATTTGCATTTAGGTGAGGGACATAGTGAGATACAGGGACTGAGATTATGTCTAGTATATATTCATTTCTTGAGACCTTACCAGCAAAAAATAAACTTTGTCATACACTGGCAAGGTGCCTGACTTTTTTTTTTAACTCTCTTCCATCCCACTACCTGCTTTATGATCCCTTCATTTCTCCTTTCCCCCCTTCTTCCTTCATACAGGCTTGGCACTGTGGATTTGATAATATGGTCCACCTGGTCTCTCACAGTAATAGCCAGTTGTCCGCTACTATGTTTTTAGCATTTTGTGTTTTGCATGGAAAAATAGGAAACAAGGTGATTTCTGCTACAGAGTCAAAGACAAAGACAGTTATGACAGATTTTTCCATGGCTGCCGCCCGGTGGACACAATTACCTCATGAACTCATGGATCCAGCAATGTGAAATCTCCAGTGGATAACAAGTGACACTACAGGACAACTGACCAGCGGTAGAGACGTACAGCAGCACAGGGCCACCAAACACGTCGCTGAGATGACATCTCACATGTTGGTGTCCCTCCTGTCTTTGTTTGGTGAGGGCTTCAAAGGATCCTTAGCTGCCTTGCCGTTGGCCGAAGCGGCGGCATCCACACCGGCGACCACCGCGGCAACGGAGCGCTTGGTTTGCTCCTCGGTGCGGGGCTCTGGGCTCGGCTGCGTGGGCGGGGCCTGGTCGGCCGGCGGCTGGACGGTCAGTTCCTGCTGCAGTTTGTGGCTCTGCAGGAGGCGGAGCTGTACACGGAGCTCCAAGATGGCTTCCTGCTCCTCGTGGATGGCCTGGTTCAGGTGGGTGTTTTTGTTCTACGGGGCAGTGACACACAGACAGTGCTTAAGAAACCAACTCTATATTGCTTGTATCCATGCTCAAAAAACATCCTCTGAGAAAAAAACTATTCAATCAATATTCTAAAATGTACTTTCAGACTTTCAGAACTCCACAAAAGTCATTCAAACTCGCAGGTGAAAAACAGACAGCCAGTGTGTGCTGCACGTTCTCACGTTCTCTCACCTCCAGTTCCTCATTTTGCTTCTGCAGGTCTTCCAGAATCATCTGCAGCTCTTCCTCATCTTCACTCTCACTTTCACTGTCCGATGAATATTCCTCTGTCTCACTGCGGCCCTGCTGCCGACTGAGGAGCACAATGCTGGGTTACGGTTGAGTACAGGTAATGATATTTCTATATCATATTACAACATATTTACTAACAAATTTTCGTCTTCTCTTACCTCTGTATGTCTGCGATCTCAGCTCGCAGCCTCTCGATTTCCTCCTTCTCAGTAGCAATCTGTCTACGAAGCACCTGCTCAAGAGAGATCAGCTCCTCCTGCTCTGTCAGGATCTCATTTTCCTGATTATCGAGAGGACGTGGGGAGAAACACAAACTTATTCCATCTGAGGTTGGCATACATGGAGCTATGTAAGAGTCAAACAATTTTAGGTTTTCAGATAGGGCCTGTGAATTGGGTTGCTCTGAGCACATCCTTTATAAATGTGTCTGAATGTCTCACCTGTGCTAAGAGGAGGTTGATGACTTCCTCTTCATTCTCAGTCATTTCTTCTTTTGACACATCTTCCTTTGAGAGGCTTGCTATCTCCTGGGCTATCTTACTCTCACACTCCTGAAAAGCAGAAGGAGGAAAGATACATGAATAATGCCCAGTGAACTCTGTAATGTTAATCTTTGTTTAGAGGTATATCAGACATCACTGATTCATGTGTATGGTCATCATTTTAGAGGCAGTAGTTTGTGGTGTTGCTGCACTGGATGTTCTTGCCCTTATTACAAAAAAAAAGCAGACATAGTATCCAGAAACAACTTGCCTGACGTTTGGCCTCCCTCAGTTTGCGTTTCAGAGCAGTCAGGATCCTCTGAACCTCCCAGAGTCGCTCCTCTTTAGATAAGTCCTTCACCCCCGCCTGAAGGTCCCTGTGCAGGCAGTTCAGCAGGAACTCCTGAAACACAGACACATTTTTATTTAGTTGACACTCCGCAATGACTTCAAATGGGTGTGATAGTTTAACAAGTTTTAGTTCTGCAATTACAGCCAACAGTGGCAAACTTAACTTGTGATCTTCGAATGATGATTATTGAAAAAAAAGAAACAAACAAACAAGAAACATTTCACCAGGAAGACATTTAGGAGCCACATAAGGTTATTTCTTTACACTGACTTTCACAAAGATGCTAACCTGATGTTGAACGTGTCTGCACCAGCCTAAGTTTCTCCAGTGTTTGTTTATTTTGCAGCGAGATGCATGCACTGGCATATAAATTAAATGGCACGAACTTCAAGTACATGGTGACAAAACACCAAGTCCTGGCACACTGAGAAACAGAGGCAAAGATAAAGATGTGCACTGCTGACAAAGACAATGTAATATAAACAGAAGCAGCTTACTCTGCTAAATTCCTGCTGCGTTACTGTGCATCTACTGTGTAACACTTTAATCCCTATTTAAAGAGACAATTTATCATCTGCCTACTTAAAAACAAGATATGTAAATATTTGAGTGAGCTTAGGAAGAGCAGTATACACAATTAAGTAATTTGATTGAGAACTCTTCAGCAAGAAATGGATCAGGGCTGCAGCTAGCAAGTGTTTTATGTTATCTGTCAATCTGTAAAAAGTTTTAGGATAACTGAAGTGAAATAAAATGTTCATTATAAGTTCTCTGAGCACAAAGTGATGTTTTCAAATAGCTTGTTAAACAGTCTAAATACAAAGACATTCAATTTAAAATTGTATGAAAAGAGAAAAGCAGGAATCCTCATATTTTAGAGGCCGCGAATGGCAAATATTGACTTAAAAAATTAAACAAAATTTAAGATGTTGCTATTTAAAGGAATAACTTAAAGATAAATGCAAGAAAGGTATGAGTAAGAATACATTTAAATATTAGCTGAAGAATATATTGCACGAGCTAGCTCAGTACAAACACTGGAAACAGGGTAAACTGTCTGTTTCTAACAGTAGTCTGGCTCTGCTCAAAGGTAAAAAAAAAATTGTACTACCAGCACCTCTACACCTTGCTAATTAACATGTTATCTGGTTTATATAATCCATTTAAATACCAAAAACAGCTTGTCGGAGTGCTAGACTATTTCCTATCTTGTCATGAGCTCCAGCTTCAAATTGAACAGACAGACATGAGAGTGGTGTCTCTCTCGGAATGAGCATTTTTTCCTCCCTCCATGTCAAACTATTTCTTGATCAATTCTGTCAATAAATGAATCGACTACAATAAACATATTGGCTGCAGCAGGACTGAACCCACCTGTCGTCGGATCTCCTCCTTGATGCTCTCTTGGGTCTCAGGCAGTGCCGGCATCGTTGCCATGTTGGACCAGCGAAGTGGCCGCACCACTGGCTTCAACACTACGTCTCCAAACAGCTCCCTCACATGCGTGAAGAACATGTAAAGGACACGATTCCCGATCTGAAAACAAGATAAACAAATCAGTAAACCCAAAGTACACAGCTTCAGAGCTCTGCACCAGCTGCATCTGGTCTTGTCGTGTGTGTGAGATATGTATTTGTTAGACTGTAATATATAACCCAGTTGTCTCTGCACCTTGTTCTCCATAACACAAATTCCCGCATATTTACTTAGCCTGATTAAACGGACCCTGGTCTCCACTCATTAATTGAGAGAAGTGTTTATTTAACAGTGTTGTGGCTCCTGCTGCTGTTGGTTCAGAATAAGTGGAGCAGCCACAGAGACGTCCCCTACGGGAATAAATTAGTTTCACTAAACTAGGCCAGGGTTTTAGAGACGAACTGACTGTTTGATCCAATAAAAACCCACTTGGTTTGTTGCTAAGGGGAGGTTTCTTATCTTTAAGGTACACTTGAGCCTGAGCCCATTTTTGTATTTGATGTTTAATTCGCCTGCTCTCTGCAACATTTTGACATTTCCCCCCCTTTTCCTTCCTTTGTTATCTTTTTCCATTAATCTCCATTTACTCAGCTTGATCTGTGCTTCCTCTCTGACCTGTATGGTTGGGTTGAGGACGATGGAGATGTTCTGAATATTCATCTTGGTGTCCGCCTCCCTGGCAATGACATGGTCCATGTGCGTGATGAGCCAGGAGAGGAGAAGTCGACTTTCTGGCGACACCTCGGCCAGCAGCCTCTGGAACTCCGTCATCTTCTCGGCCTCAACCTGCCGACCACAGGCGTCCTCGAAGCGCTGGGCCAGCTCCCGGCCCAACAGATTATCTGGCAGCTCGCGCAGGTACTGCTTCAGTAGGCTGGCAACCGTGTGGGGGTCATACTCCTCCAGGCAGGGGCACTCCTCACGGTCATATGCTGTTTTCAATTCATCCACCTTGGACTTCATACCTGAGAGAAAGGGAATTTGATGTGAGTATCAGACATACAAATAGTAAGATACTAGTTATACCTTTTTCTGCAATAAGACTTTTTTCACAAGGCAAAAAATCAACTTCCTCTGAAAGTTTCTATACCTGACACCCGGTAGATGCCTTCACATTTCATGCCATAACTTTCAATGTAGTCCACACACTCTCTGAAGATGGCTGGCAGCTGGATACCATCATATAGAGCTGTCCTCTTGACAGCTTCAGTCAGAGGTGCTCCAAAGATGGGCCTAAATGTGGGGATCTCCACTGGGACTGGCTCTGCCTCTGTTGTTGGTTTCTTCTTCTTCTTCTTCTCCTTCCACTGTTTCACCACATCTGCAGCTGTCAGGTCTTTAGATTTCTTATCCTTGGCCTTGTCCTCCTTGGGGCCCTTCTCCTTCACCTTGAAGTCCTTCTCCTTCTTCTTGGAGAAGCTGGGCTTCTTGAACACATGGATTCCCTTGGAGCGCTTCATCTTAGACGGGCTCTCTGCTTCGTCTGCTGAACTGTCCTCCTGGAAGGCGGCGTAACCCTCCGCTGCGAAAGTAAAGAAAGAGTAGGAAGAGGCAAATATAGGGTTAGATCTGAGGGGCGAAACACCTCTGTTTTGTTATCCTCCGCCTTCTACGACAGCACCATGATAGCAGTGAGATAGAAACAGGAAGAGAGATGTGTGAGAGAGAGAGAAGATAGCAAAGGAGGGGGAGAATGGGGACTTAGAAAAGAGGTCAGCCACAGATTTAGCATAGCTCCCACAGCACCTTACGCCTCTCCTCTCTAGAACAGGCTCAGTTAAAATATTTTTCCTCAGAGCAAACAGCTGCACAAGAGTGTCAAAGACCGTTAGTGGCCTCTTTGTCTCCTCTAATTGTCATTACTCTGGGTTTCCTGTATCACACCGCTGCCTGAGACACACCTTCTCTGGGTGTGCTCTGAACTGTCCATCTCTTCCTCTCTCCCACCATACTCTGGTGTAGGAGCTAAATACAGACATGGAAAAATCCTGATACAAAGTGGACAATGAACCTGAAAACCACTCAGTGAAAAACATTATCACTAAAGGAACATTTCTCACTGCTACAGCCAACAGGATGGAAAAGTGGGACGCTCTCTCTCTTCACTCAACAGCTACGACTATAGAGACCTTCAGCAACATTACAGTGGTACTGAGTCCTCAAGTGCTCCACAGCTGAAGCTTAGTGGCCGGAAGTAGATGATCTGTATGTACACGGCAGCTCCCAGGTGTTAAAGGCTAATTTTTCAAACTGCTGTACATTCATTAGTTTTCTGTAACCTCTTATCCTCTTAAAGTTTGTGGGGGGCTGGAGCCTATCCCAGCTGACAATGAGTAAGAGGTGTGGTACACCCTGGACAGGTCAACAGAATATCACAGGGCTGACACAGACAACCATTCACGTTCACATTCACACCTACAGGCAATTTAGTCACCAGTAAACTTAACCTGCATGTCTTTGGACTGTGGGAGTACCCAGAGAAAACCCACACTAACACATGCAAACTCCCCAGCTGGCTGTTTTCACAGCTATCTCCAAAGTCAATTATAAACCATCAAGCTCAAATAACAGTATTATATCTTACTCCTTTTCTCCTTCTTCTTGAACTTGTTCTTCTTCTTGCTGTGCTCTTTGTCATCGTCTGAGATGTACGCATCAGGTGCCTCGTGGTGATGGCCATCGTGAGGCGGAGACGGTTCACCCGTGCGATACAAGCCAGGGAACTTGGTGGGACTGATCTCCTCAGAGCTTGGGGTGCGGGCCACGCCCCCTGGGTGCTCAGCCCTGCGCTGCTCCGCAGGGCTGCTGCTGGGGGGCAGGAAGCACTCAGTCATGGCTGCTCTGGCCTTATCACTCCTCTGACTGGCACATCACCTCTCCATCACACCTACAGCGGGCAGAAATACAAGATGATAACACAGATGATCTCAAGCATCATCCAGTTTGCACACAGATTAATTAATAGCTCCTTCTGCTTGTTATCCATCTCTTATTTGTGTAACAGACATGGGCCAGGTCTCTGAGTTTTTCATTTGATTTATTTCTGTATTTATTTTTGTATTGACTTGTAGTAATACAGATCATATTTGAAATAAAAATTATATAAAGAGCTGAACTTGAACAATATTGATGAAATAAACCACTAAATGATTTTAAAACTCAAGTACCTCATTCCATTTAGTGATTTTAAACTCTCAGCTATTACAACCTATTTGAAGTGTTTGCGACAGCTTTCATTGGAGCTTGAGAACATGAATATACACATACAATCATCTGAACTATATTTGTTGCATTGCATGTCTTCTTTTTGTATGCGTTTCCCCTGCTGTACTCTTGCAAGAGAGATCTTAATCACAATGAGTAAAGGTTATAAAAGTCTCTGCCTCTACCTAGATCCTCCTTAGTATAAAAAAAGTAGCTTTTAACTAAATAAAAGGAAATTATAGCAACACAACCATATGTTAACTACAATAACAAGAAAGTCTAAACAAAATCCACTCATGTCTCAGCAGTGCCCCACCAAATGAAAATCTATATTAATAATTTTGCCTTTTAAAAAAGTAATTTCTACACATCATTTATAAACTATATTAGACCAAGTGGACAACACAGCTATATCACAATTTAAACATCTTTTTTAAAGCTCCTTTCTGCTGTGATATATATATATATATATATAAAGTTATGTTCCAATGAGACAAACATTTAAAATCTGTAAAAGATGAATTGATCTGTAGACCAAAAATTTTGTACTCAGAAAGTTAGAAGCACCACAAAACAAACTGTAGCCTTTTCCCGCTTCTCCGTCTTCTTTCTTTCTCTCCTGAATGTTTTAATTATGACTGTATGAAGAGAACAACTGCAACAGTGACATCCTCCCACCAGATGGGGCTCTGCCATATAAACAATCACATCTTGCTTGTCCTTCTTGTAAGATGCAAATTCTGACATCCACAGTCAGAAAAAATCACAACTACAGCCCTTTCTATTGTATAAAGAAACAGTGATTTATCTGACAGTCCTGAAGGCTGTAGATTAGGAAATATGTTTTCATCGGAGTGTTTAGACAATCATTTGAAACGACAGTATGACTGTCTGCTTGTTTGTGTTAAATTTAGCATAAAAGGGAACTCCTCAGCCGTCAGTTTGTAACCTACATACATGTTTTAGGAAGTAGATCGCTTTACGTAATCATTGCAGAGGTGCTGTGTGTTGAAAAGCTTCCGTATACCTACTAAAAACTGAAATATGTTTCTAAATCTGACAGCAGGTCGATGATCTCCTGTTACATGTTGACTCTGCAAACTTAAATTTAAGTCAAGTGGTTAGTATAGTGCATCAAAGAAGACGCTGCATTATAAAGAAGAGATATGTGGTAGATTATGTAACACAACAGCCATACATTCACTTACACTGTCCTAATTGAACCCTGTACACACACTAAATAATACAGCCTGTCTGTCTTTCTGACATCTTAATCTTCCTTCGCTGTGGGCAGATTATCCTCACTATTTTCTTGCCCTTTCCTGTTTCCAGATAGAAGCTACTCATATAAAACCAGTCACATATCGTCACCTTACTGTTAAAATACTCATTTTAGTTTCTGTACAAACGAATTTAAGCGTATTTACATAGATAACAATCAGAAAGTAGAAGCTCTCCTCTGAATGGAGGGGCCCATATGCTAACGTTAGTTCAGCTAGCAGCCAACCTGCTAAGCTAGCTGATTAGCTAGCCTGTCCGTCACGATTAAAGCCGCTGTTTTGTCAACACAAACCCAACGTGAGATAAATAGTTAGCTACGTGTGCTTAACTCTGTTTTATAACAGCTGTACTGTCACTGAATACGAAAAACACAAAAGACAAGAAACTTTACCAAGAACTATCCCGTTCGGTCAATTTCAGTGTGGAGCTTCCGGTTGTCTGTATACTAAATAAACCAATCTGCGCCTGCGCAGTAGCCCAAGTGCACGATGGGACATGTAGTTCGAAAGCGAATCATTCTAACGGTTTTATCTTGACCGCAAATGTATAGTCTATGACAGTTTCTTGGCTGTGAGAATGATCTGGAATTAATGAAGAATGTTTAGGTTATGGTCTCATTTTTATTTTGACCACAAGCCTGCTGTTATATAAGCCCCATGTTCAGGATGAGAAACTGTCAAACAATGTTTTGAAAAGCAACTATCATCTAAATTTGGTGAAACCACTTGCTATTCTGGATCATGTGTACTTTCCCAAACGCTGTGGTTGCACTCAGAAGACTAGTGGTCATCCTAACATATGCAACACATTTGTCCTCTGATCTTTGTTGGCACCATCGGCTCCAAACCCACAGCTGCAGCGGCGAAATGAGGTCGTGATTCAATATCATAAAAAAAAGACAAACAAGGTCTCATTGTGCGTCCGGTACATTAGTCTGTGCAAACTGCTGTCGCATGCCAATTGGGAACAGAATCAGTGATAGGGCACCCTGCTGCCTTTTGAAAATGCACTGGCATTACAAAGAGCATTTGTGTGTGGCGGTGAGAGATTGGCATTGGTAAACGTTCCCTTTCCCCTCCGCTTGCATGAGACGGTCACTGAGCACTGGAACACCTGTGGACCAGAATGGTATAATAACAACTTTGTTTCCCCAGGAAATGATGCGTTTCCTGACTCAGGCAACACTAGGCTAAGATTAGAGCAGGAGACATGCAATTGGGAGGAAAAACATTTACTATTCCACTCGTGCTGTGCACATTTTAACACATCTTTTTAAGAAAATATAAGAAAAGAGGAAAAGATATTTTAGGGATCAGACACCCTTCTGTGAGACAAACCAGTCCATGTCACCAAACTTTTCTTTATTTGGCATGAGACTGGGATTTAGCAGACCATAATTGTAAAAATACATTATTCATATACACCTCTAGTAAAAAAAACACTATTGAAAACATATCTAAAAATATACAGTGAAACATAACAGCAGAATAAAAACAATTTGCAGGGGTAGGAGGAGGGGTGTCGGGGGTATTTTACAAGGTAACTGAGGAATGCTAACACATAACAGTCATAGTTTCCTCTGCCCTCAGTCCTCTGGTATGGCCCAGACATTTGGTACCAACATGTGCCCGCACTTCAGAAGAGACAGTTCATGCACTTTACAGCCTTGCTGCCGTAGTCCACGCACTCGGGTCCGATGCACTGGCAGCAGGCATTGTGAAACCAGCGGTACTTCGATCCTCCCATTGACTCACAGTATAGTTTACACTGCCGGATAGACACACAGTCGTCAAAGTAGACCACCGTGCACATGTTTTCTGAAATAAAAAAAGGACAGAAAACAAAAAACAAACAAAAAAAAGAAACGTGAGTCACAAATCCAGTAAAACACGGTTTAAAAAAACAAGCAGCGTTTTAAAGTAATTACCTTTAACCCTCAATGTTCCTACTTTTACTTCGGGGAGGAAATTAATTTGCTGCTAAGTATGACCATATGTGTTGGTGAGCTTAATGAGTTAACTGCTCAGCGCTGTGGGAACACTCCTATTATGAGTGTGTCTTTATAGCAAATAGTGCTGGCTTAGAGGTAGACGGCCAAAACAGCCGCAAACGAAAATAAAAAAAATGGCAGCTGAGCAAGACTTTCAACCAAGTTACTATTCCCTAAACTGGAGGTCTTTTGGCAGCATGTCCCCCTGACATGATGAAAATCTGACCCAACCCCAACTGGTCTTAGTTCAACTCTTTGTAGTCGACTTCAGCTCTGGGCCGGGCCTGATTTTATTACCCTGGGTCTCAGTGAGTGTCCATAAATGTAAATGAAAAATCTGACTGGACTTGACAGGACCAGAAAATATGTAACAAAGCATGTGAGCAAAATGTACTTTTTCTCATGCAGTGTAACTTATGCAGAAACGTTATCAGTGATGTGGATGTGACGCAGGCTCCCAGCAGGAGCTTAAAAACCAGTGTGAGGCTGCACGGCATCAAACAGCAAGTGACTAACCACTGTTTTTTGATTCAGGTCCATCAGAGGCGCTGGACAGCTCGCCAACAGGGCTGCAACTAGCAATTACTGTTGATCATTGTTGTTTTATTGTTAAATTATCTGTTGGGTATTCAGAATTGTTTGTTTTTAAAAGCGGCCATCACAATTTCCCAGAGCCAAAGTGTCCAATAATATAAAACTAAAAAAATCCTTCATTTACAGTGATATAAGAACAGAAAAGCAGCAAATTCTCACATTTGAGAAGCTGGAAAAAGCAAACGTCTTGTTTGAAAAATGACAAATGATTAACTGATTTTCTTCTTTCAGCTAGATTAATTGATCAATCAACTTCCTGATTCTTCTTGATCATTCTAATTATGAGTTAATATGTAAGAGAAGGGTGGGGGACAGGGAACAGGTTAGGGAAGATAAGGGACACTAAAGGGGGAGTAAAGTAAGGGAATTCCTGTTCCTTGACTTTACAAACAGTTACGGACCTATACTTAGTTTAATTTTGTGTCCTCTTTTAGTTGGTATTAACACATTTATTTTTGTATTTTGATTCAATTATAATTTCCCTCATTTTGAAAAAATATCTTTTCCCTTTTTAACTGTCTATTCTTATATTATTGTAATAAGAGAGTACAGTCCTATCTTTTATATCAGTGGTTCCCAACTGGTGGTCCATGGTCCGAAAGTGGGTCGCAGGTCCATTCTGAATGGGCCGCAAGTGACTCGCGAATGTGTCAACTTCGTAAAAAAAACTTTATTTTGAAGTACAGTGAATTTCTAGCACAAAGCTTTTATTTTGAAGTACCACTTTATGCTGTAAAGTGAGTGACGGAGACCACAAACTAGCTT